CCGGACGACCGACCGGACGGACGGACGGACGATCAAGCGATTCTACAAGCTGCATCTGACTATGTCAGATGAGCTAAAAACTCATCCTTCCGCTTTACAAATCACTGGTTAGACCTCATCTTGAATATGCTGTCCAATCTTGGAATCTCTATTTGCAGAAAGATATAATGTTACTGGAAAAAGGTGCAAAGAAGGATGTCGCGTATGATTCCAGAAATTCGTCATTTTTCCTATGAACAAAGGCTAGAGAAACTAGGACTTATAACACTGGAACAGAGAAGACTAAGAGGAGATCTCATTGAAACTTTCAAACTAATAAATGCCCGCCGAATCAGTGTTCGACTTGAGGAGACGCTTGGCCAACTTGACGGCTACTTCCGCTCTGCCATTCGACTGCGGGTGGTAGGCGAATGATATCCGGTGCTTAATACCCCAACGTCGTAAGAGGTCTACAGTAGTCGAGGCAGCAAACTCTGGTCCTCCATCAGTTGACAGCTCTGCTGGAACGCCGAAGATGGCCATGAAGTTCCTGAGGCGGTCCACCAGCCCTTGGGCACTGGCTTGCTTTGAGCCGGACGGCGTGGTGAAGATCTCGACCCATCCCGAGAGGCGTTCGGCAATGACGAAATAGTGGCAACTGGCAAAATTGAAGTAGTCCGCCACCACAGCTTCGAGAGGAACCAAAGGCAAGTGCGCAGGCGTCGACGGGAGACTTGCTTGCGACGGGGTGTTTCTGTTGCAGTCGCCGCATTTTGCCCTAGCGTTACCGATGTCTAGCGTTATCCCTGGCCAGAAGACAATCGCCCTGGCGTGCAGCTCCATCAATGACTGGCCTTGGTGTGCAGCTTGAAGGTTGTCGAGGACTTGGCGGCAAAGTGCTGGCGGAACGACAACACGATCATTGAACATCACCACGTCATGCGAGAGGTAGAGGGACTCACGGTAGCGCCAGAATTGTGCGACGTGTGGGAGGTCCTTGTGCTCGATGGGAAATCTGGCAACGATTGTGTCGACGAGGGACTTCATGGAGGCGTCACTCTCGGTGGCAGCGGCGATGGCTTCCCATGACAGCGATGTGACGTCCTGTGCTTCATGGCAGATGGCGGCGAGAGTCGCCTGCTCGGTGCTATCTTCGATTTGGAGGCCACTTAAGGATGCAGATAGCACGGTGAAGTCGATGTCTCTGCACTCGTCCCACCAGGTGTTCATTGGAGTGACCGGCGAAGGGTGACGCGATGCTGCATTAGCAGCAAGGTTGGTCTTCCCAGGTAAGTGTTCGAAATACCATGGCAGAGTCCTTTGGTTCAGGCAAAAGAGGCGGGTGTTGTGAATCTCGTCGAGGTTGCCGAGTATCTTCACCAGCGGCTTGTGGTCAGTGACTACCATGAAGTCATTGCAGCCCTGCGTGAAGAAACGAGTTTGCTCAAGGCCCAGGCGACTGCAAGGGCTTCGCCTTCCACTGGCGCGTAGCGCTGCTCTGCAGAAGAGAGAAAGCGGGAGCCTGCCAAAGTAATCTTCCAGCCGTCAGGGCAGCATCCAGGCAAACCGCTCGTGCAGTCGCAGTGCTGCTGTGGCAGGAAGAAGCCGATGCCACGATTGGAGAAGTCTGGTCTGAGGCACGTCCTCTTGGTGACGTCGAAGATCTCCACGCCGCGCTTGATGGCTTCTATGATGCTGATCTTGGAGGCCTCGAATGCCTCGTCAAGTTCAGGAGTCCAGACAAACTTCTGCTTGGGACTGAAATAGGGGCGGAACGGTGCCATGACGTCGCGTAGTTAGGCGTAGTTGGCTACCTGATTTACAAGGTTGAACCAGCTCCTGATGTCAGTCGTGGACGATGGTTTCGGGAAATGCCTGATAGCGTCGATGTACTTGGGGAGCGATTCGATGGATGACTCGGATGCCAAAACCTGCGAAGTCCACTGTCCTTTTAGCAAAATGGGTTGAGGACGATGCCAGCGTTGCCCACTGTCGACAAAAACTTCATTGTGCGCCACCAGTGCTGTCCAAGGTCCTCGCCGTAGTGGACAGTGTCGTCGACGCACCTTTCCTTACGCTCGAAGTCGGAGATGATAGCATCAATCCGGCGGTTGTAACCATCGCCAGACGAGAGAAAACGAGCGTGTGATCGGGGCTTGGGCAGGTCCATGCATGGCTCCGGCATGGATCTGCAGCATGACGATTGCCAGGGCATCACTAACGTCTTGGGTGATGAAGTCGCACTCGACAATAAGGCACTCGAATGTAGGCATCGTTCTTCAGCGATGTCATTGAACATAAAGAATGACTCGTTCTGTCACATCATAAATATGTTCTAGAATGTTCAACGACACTGAAATAGGAAGAGAAAGGAAACATGTAACACAACAATAACACAACTCCACACGAAGTAATTGACCCTACAAAATTCTTTACAAGATCGGAATACAACAGTACTCGTGGCCATAGCCTCAAATTGTTCACTCCGCGTGCACGACTAGAGTTAAGGAGAAAAAATGTCAATTTTAGAGTAATAAATCACTGGAATAACCTGTAAGAAGAAGCAGTACAAGCTAAATCAATTAACTCGTTCAAAAGCCATGTGGATGAATATGTAAGGATGGGGGTTTATACAAGACAGTAATCTTCCTACCCTTCGATCCACTCCAAACCTACAGGTGAAGGGTGGAATCAGGTAAATCAGGTAAATATAGCCATGCGTGGAAGAACTGGTGTTCGGCACTGCGTCTGGGGTTGGTGTGAGGTAGTCGATGCTCACAGTGTTGGTAATTTTCTTGTGTTAACATAAAATGCCTAACTAAAATCCCATTGTTTTGTTTTTGTAGGATATTGAAGAGTTACGAGAAAACTGTCTCCACTTTTACGCCACATGGAAAGTCTGGAATATCAGGATGTGACTTTGATACTGTGCAATCATATACATCTATTTTTCTCTCTCATTCTTTCAAGTTAAAAGACTGGAACCAATTACGTCCACTTCCAAATTATGGTGTAAGTAACATATCTCCCTGCATTGTATCCTAAATGTGAAGCAGTCGGGCTAATATTTTGTACGCATATGTTTATATTAGTTGTAGTAATTCAAGCTGAAATATATAACTTTGTCATAAATTAAGTTTCATTTCAGTTCTCAAAGAAAATTGGGAGTCAATATTCAATAGAATTTTTTTCTGTTGATGGTCGTTTGCATACAATAATGGTGGAACCACTATTTGTTCGGCTCCGGTAGAATTGCACAATTCCAGTGTTCAGGGTTTGCATAATATTACCTGTGTTTAGAAGGAACAAGCGTTAAATCTCAGCCAAAAAGTATCATGCACTCATGACAGCGATCTGTTAGACATTGGAAGAGAGCACTTCATATATAAGAATCTACCTGGTCTCTGCAGAAAATGTTCAACAAGGAAACCTATGAAACACGACGTACTTGAGTTCATACATCTGAAAGAACGCAGTAGTGCTTCCAAAGTTATGGCAGCTGACGCAGAAGAGAATGTTAGACAAGAGAACTTTGGCCACAATACCAGGATACGGCATTTCTGTACATCTTCTACCACGTTTGTAGCGCCGACCTCTTCAGAAAGGCAGATGAGTTTCTCCAGCGAGTCTGATTTGCTGCATAAACGTGCGAAGCACAAAGATTTGCATCGCGAGAACAAGGATTTGTCATTCAGTGGTGATGTCACAGCGTCTGACAGCAATCGTGGTCAAAATAACCCCACCTGTTGCCAGATGGCAACACACCACAAGGACGTCTCAATGCCTACACGCAAGCGGATGATAGTCGATGAATCTTCCACACATGACACGCATCCAGTCTGCAGTACTTCTCTTCCTGCCACGATTCGGGCATCTGAGAGTGACTATCGCGTAACACGATGCGATGTGGATTCACCAGGGGTGTTGGTTGAGGAAGCAGATATAGAGGTGAAACATTGCCCACTTTGCCAGCAGAAGTTTACAGCTGACATGACAATGCTAGACATTGACAATCACGTTGCCACATGTGTTGCACAGTCACTGGACGACGAGTCTGATGTACGAAGTTGCCCCATATGCAACATGAAATTTACAACTGGAATTTCACAGGTCGACGCCGATGGTCATATTGCTCTCTGTTTGTCAGAAAATGCGGTAAAATGCATTGTCATTTGCGTTTCATTACATGACAGTGCAAACATTGGCTGTGTAATGTATTTTGTGTAATGTGTGTTGTATCATAGTTCATTGCGATTAAATTAATTTTTACTGGATGAATCATTCTACCCTGTATTGTCACCAAATGCAATAGCAATTGCATACTACATTATCCGAGAATTACTTAGTATTGTGCTAGTCAAACACAGCATGTCAAAAAAGCAATGAGGATATCAAGAAATATTAGTGTTCCCCTATCTAAAAATATTTATTCCTAGACATAATTACACTACACAAAATAACAATCATCTCATCCATTATTTTAGTTTGACAATTTTAATTATTAAAAACGTTATACAGTTTCTATTTACACTTTATTGAATGCACATATAATACCAAAATAATATGGGCATAAATAATATATAGAATTCTGTCATTTCACCTCTTTTCAAAAATCATATGTTAATTAAACAACAATGAAAGCTGATTAGTTTCCATTAGCTAGGGGAGGGACATTCCAATAATGAGAGGGGGGTTCTTTACTCCCAATTCGTACCTTGGTAAACAATTCCAAATACTATCATTGCAAAAGGCTAAACGCCGCTAAAGAAAAGGAAGCAGTTTGTGAGTCATTTCTCCAAATGTTCACACCACCTAGTACTTAATCCACAACTGATATCATGTGCTTAAATGAGTCTATTGGTCACTTGTCTGATCTTGATTAAGTCAAGGATAGCAAAAATCCAGATCAGTTAGGTATTTTCAAGCCTCCATTAGTGAATGACAACAAACTAAGAACATGTAACATAACATGAATGTTACTAATTACTGTCACCGTGTTACTGCTGGTTGTAATGCCCCTAGGTAGGTGTCCCTAATCGTAAGAAATTATGCAGGTATCCCTTTGATGAGTAAAAGAAAACAGAGAACAAAGCTATTATCACCAAAGGCACCTAAGAATAATGTATCAAATATGTTTATCCTTAAAAGCATTCACAGTATTTTACATACAGAATACGAATGTTCCTGCAAACAACTTGTATATATTGAGATCATTCTACATTTTTGCCTGTCCTCTATTAATAATTCAGCAGTTGTCATTTATGAATAACAGTCTATTATTGATCTACAATCACGGATATCGTGGCACTTTAGGTTTTGCACATTGCCATTCCACCACTAGATGAGTGCAGCTGCCAATGATAGCACAAGTTTATATAAAAAAGTTATGCTCCAAGGTGACATTGTTGTCATGAGTGAGCAGTCACCCCAAAAAGTCTTGCGATGACAGTTGTTATGTCCACTCCCTCATTACAACAACTGGTATGCCACGTAATGACTGCGTTCAGAAATAATTTTGCTTTCTACACCTAGGGCATCTGCTTGAGCATGTTTTGACTATCACAGTTCAGGATAACTTTGTTCGCTGACTACTCAAATATGCAGAGCAAAGACTAGTAAGCAAAATGTTGTGCACATAAAAACCATTTACTCATCATAACACTTCAAAACTATCTTCATTACTTATTAACGGATGACAAATTTGCACATCCCTGATCTATGTATACCTGTATACTTCACATTTAATGTAATTATCACATACCGTCTATCTACATATTTATGCCAATTTCATACTTCTATCCACATGCCCCATATTATTTACTGTTATCAACCTATGCCGGTGCATGTGTTCAACTTTGAAATCTCATATGATAGATTTCATCGGTTAGTTATTCTGTCTTAGATGGGGGTTGGTTTCCAATCCTTCTCTTACCTGGGTAAGGCTGAAATATTTGGCCAAAATTTGTTTTCATAATTCCTGATGTGACAAGCAGACATGCACAGATGCTATGTCACCGTTATCATCCTCTATTTCTCTATGTGATGTCACCACCCTCTATGCTTTTATGTGACGTCTGCCACCCTCTGTATCACATCACCACCATATGTCTAATGTCACCACCCTCAATGTGACATCACCACCCTTTGTGTTACGTAACCACCTTCCACGTGATGTCTGCCATTCCGTGTGACGTCACCACCCTCATTGAGGTGTAACCACCCTTTGTGTGACATCATCACCCATTGTGTGATGTCATCACCTGTTGTGTGACGTCATCACACCTTGTGTGACATTACCACCCTTTGTGTGATGTTATCACCCTCCATATGACGGCTGCCACTACCACGCGTCGTCCGGACCTTCGTCGGTCATCAGTGTCTGCATGCGCTCCTGATAGAGGTTCTTTGCGTAGTTGATCTTGTGAGCGATCTTGCTGGCAACAGCTCCGCTCGCGCACTCCACGGCTGGTGACTGCTGGTTGTGAGCCGGATGACCAACGTCAACGAGCTGCTGCACGTTCGGCTTCTTGCTCAGGCCTGTCATCAGGAAAATGATCGCATGAGACGACTTAAGGTGCATTCTCATCAGTATAATATAAATATCCAATATACACATAAGGGCGTGGCTAGTGGGGTGGGGAGAAGGAGGGGGGGGGGCAAAGGAAGTTGCCCAAGCCCAACGTAGATACTATTACATGGTTAATAGCCAATGGTGGACTGCCTTTTCAGCAAACTGTTGTCAGAGTATTGTCATGACGGATTCAACCAAATTTATATCAGATGCTCTACTATAAGCCTGTAATTATTTCTTTAAAGTTCGGGACAGATGGCAGCACTGTGTTACTTACATAATATTATGTAGTGCTTACTGCCGGTGCCGCAACCCTCCGATCTGTGGTTGCACTGCTGCAGCTCTGACATGCGCACCAGCAGAAAGATGTTCTTATGTTGACGTGGGCCGCAGAGGAAGTACACGTTCTCACTGGAGATGAGACAGTGGATCTGTTGCGCAACGCCTGTTTGTTCATATGCAACCAACCTATATGTGGAGAATCGCACAACCATGAGTACGTTAGACGCTACGGCTACATTAGCATTTCAACAACCACAACATCTTCTTTGCAAAAGTGGTAAACTGCTGTCGTTCTACCGCACTGTGGGAATTGGTTATAGAAATAGTTAGATATCGTTGCGCAAACCGAGAATCTATTTAATAATTATTTTGTTTATCTTTTCAATTACCATATTTTATTTTATTTATTCATTAAATTATGTAAGCGCTCACATTTCTCTGTAGTTGTTGCGGTTGAGGCTATAGAGGAAGAGCTGGTCTTCAGCCTGTGCCTGAGAGTAGCACTGCAGCAAGCCTCCGACGCCAGAGCAGCAACGTGTCGGCCGAACACGCTGCCGTGCAGACAAATGACCGATGGTCAGCACCAGTATAATGTACAATAACACTAAAATAGTACTGTAATGCAACCAACCTGTGCCATATTGCATGGTGTGGCTAATTAGTGTGGCAAGGACGAATAGTTTCTATGTGCGAGCTCAGTGCTTTCATAAATGTTGATTTAACATTATATTTTATACTGTGTAGTGTGTAACATATATATGTTCACTGCAACTCACATGCCAATGAAACACATCCAGATTGCATTATACATTGTCTTGTAACATATTGGTGATTTATGGCATGCTCTTTCAGTGTCCCAATTTTTGTTTTGAATTTTGATTCAGGTTTAATGTGTGGTTAATTAGGCTTAAAATTCTTTATAGAATTTAATGCTGAATGTGATGAGATTGTTGTAGTACCTGGAACTCTTGCCGGCTATTGCTGCGGCTACCTTTGCTGATGGCGTGTGCTGTACCAGAAGCCATGTCCAAAAGCCCAACCGTTGGCTTGGTTACCACCCCAACAAGACCTTTTCCAAGCCCCGTAAATAGACCCTTGAAAAGATTCCAAGACACACATTACAGCAATTTCAATGTACAAACCAATGATAGTGTCAATGACACTGTAGCTCACCTTGGGTTTGATAAAAGAGGGAGGGGGATATATAAAACAAGAGTATATATGGGAGAACTCCCATTATATAGCATATCTCCCATTATATACTCTTGATAATGATATATGCATAGGTTTTGATGCAACAATAAATGTTTCAGATCTAAAAGTCTGAAATCTTGACGATAAATAATCGCTATTTTGGTTTTCGAATATCGCGCAAATATAAACAATAAAATATTCCAGCCAATTACTGTAACGAAGAATCTAAAACACAATATTACACGTATATAGGTACGATTGTAGAGTTGTTAACCAGTTAGACAAAATAAACGTAATAGGACGTTGTCATCTCTCCCATAGGAGTAACAACTGTTTTGGCACTAGCCTTACACATTCACATACCAAAATTTAACAAAATCGAATGAATTTAGATGGCCATTTTCATTTTTGCCAAAAAGTGGGCGTGGCTCAAAAGTAGGTCGACTGGCTTGCTCCAAAATAGGACAATCAAATCTCTCCCATAGGAGTAACAACTATATGCAATTTAAAACATGTGGGTCAAACGGTTCTTGAGTTATCGTTGACCGTAGCCAAATGTTGACGGACAGACGGACAGACGGACGTACGACGGATGACACCCCATGGCAATAGCTCATCTTGACGATGTCGAGGCGAGCTAAAAATAAGCTATCATTTTCTTTAATACGGTTTAGTTCTCAATTTCATTATAGACCTCTCAACCTACCCCGACTCCATCCCTAGCAGCACCCTCTATGGGCTGCATAAAGACGCTCGTGAGACCGCCAACGACTCCAATTCCCAGGCCCTTCAGTCCAGCCTTTAGATGTGCCCCGCTGCTACCAGAGTGCGCTCTGATCTCCTCGCGCATCTCCTGGTGTCTGTCATCCATAGAAACCTTTCCCAGTGTGTCAGACAACGAACCAGTAAACTGCAACACAGCAACAGCCATTCTTGTAGATCATTTCATAAGATTAAGCACCACGCGTGATAAGCCGAGTTCATTAGCTTTATGACCTGTACCAATTAAAAATAGTTAAATAACATTTAGCTGCAGAGAAGGGTAGTGCTGCGTGCACACGTTGCATAAAATCAACTATCGCTGCATTAGCTGAAAGATACTGTACTGGTAAGAAAACCGTAGCTAGCACGGAAGCTGGCTGGTGGTAACTGAGAAACAGAAACCACACGAGAGGGAATCAGAGCCAGTACTGTACTCAGACATGACAGAGAGACAGAAATCATGTGAGGGTGTGGGTGAGCGCAGTACTGAGCAGACAAACCCTGGCAGTGGAGTTGGACACTCCGTGGGCGACGTTCTTGAGCAGACCTCCGACATTACCCTCACTGATGAGCCCGGAAAGACCTTCAGTGACGTCGTTGAACAGTCCGAGTGGGTTGCCGAGGAAGTCAACGGAACCCAAGATGGCCGCCGCCTGGCTCTGCAGTGACTGAAGAGTGAAGACACGCGAAGGGTACCCATTAGCATCTGAACACTTTACGTTATTTTCTTCCCAGTGGATAAAAAGCTTTCAACCAGTGGCACCACTGTCTTTACAATGAGGAACAATAATGCTGTGTGCACTCATGGAGTCTACCATAGGATATAACAGATACAAAACGAAATCAACGAGCCCGTCCGTTGTGACCCTATTCCTCCTCTCTCCCCTTATAACATTATTAATATTAATTAACATTATTATTATTATTAACATCCCACTCTGCTCATTTATAGTCATTATGTTATCTAGCCATCTATCTGCCTAACTACCGTGTAGGTGAATAAAATTTCCTCGCTCATCTCGTGGAGCAGGTATTAGGACTCTCCCTCGCACTGCTTACCTCCGTATAATGCTTCACGATGGCTCCCAGCAGGAAGCTGCTCGTCTCAAACTGGTGTCCGCGCTGGAAGCGGGCGAGCTCGATGTCCGCATCCCGGAATCCGATGAGCGGGATTCCGGCGAGCTGCTTGATGGCGTAAAGGTCGGCGGGCAGCTTGCTTGAGGTCAGCACGCTGAGACGCAGCTGTCGCGCATCGAGCAGCAGCATGCCGAAGTAGTAGCGTTTGCTGTGCACAGACGTCGCCATCGTCAGCGACCTGAAGTCAAGATGAGGCAATACTATACAATGAAGTAGTAGCGTTTGCTGTGCACAGACGTCGCCATCGTCAGCGACCTGAAGTCAAGATGGCAATTTTGTTGAATGCTCGTTTATATGTTATTATGACTGTTACATATATATTTATGTTATATACTGACTATAATAATAATGACAATGATGACGATAATTTCCACGATGACAACACTCAATGACAATGAGGATGATGATGAGGATGATGATGATGATGATGATGATGATGATGATGATGATGATGATGATGATGATGGTGGTGGCAATGATGACAATGATATTCAACGATAACGATAGTAACGATGATGGCACTGATGATTAGTGGTACCTGTGCGCATCATAGTCACTCTCCTCCGGTTTTACAAGCTCAGGGTCTGACTGATACCAGCCGAAAAATTGCAGAAGCTTCCAGAGCACACGTTCCTCGATCTTGAGCGATATTGGCTGGATTGACATAATCAGGTACTGAAACATGAGAAATGATGCTTTGTGTTACGGGGAGACTCAACAATCATCACCGACTAAACTAGCTTCTCAGACTTAGGAGCACATACACACGTAAGCCCAAGCAGGCACGGAGACATGAAGACACGATCACAGAATAAAAATCGATCGGGATCAACTGTGGCACCTCGAATATGTCAGCATTCACGCGCTCCTGACTCGGGATCTTGCACGCAGTGATGTAGAGAGCAGGGAGGCACTGCTGCATGTCCTTCCGCGGGTTCGGTGTCATGTGCAGTAAGACAGGCTCCTGCGAGCCCAACAGCTGGTTATCAACCTGGAACAATGAAGTCCGAGTGTCAGTCCAAGATCAAGTTTTCAGCACAAATGGGTGACTACCTCGGGGCTCAAATTTAAACGCGGCAAGTGCCATGTTTACTTGCTGTTGTGCCCCCTAATTTAACAATACCCACTGTAATAAAACACCTGGCTGGCCTACATTGTTTTCCTCCATGCCCTTCCAATAACTTCCATGTTTTATATGTATTCATCTTTGCCCAACGTACAAAAAGCATTGTTAATAAGTTGCTTTGCTAACTCTTCTTTGAAGAAATGAGTGTCTTGCTGTCCTTCGAAATAGCTGTGGCATTCTAAAATAACTAATAACTGACCTATAGCAGCACTTGTCCTACGGTGAAATTTAAACTTGACCTAGCTATCTGGATCCATGAGACAGGAATTCTATACTTTGTAATGTCTTACTATGTAAAATTTGTAAATGTTAATAATGCTTATGTTAATGAATATCTGCTCAAATAATTTGTTCTTACATACTTACAAGTAGTAGGTGTTAACATACCTGTATGTGGCGGATGCTGCAATTTAGTGTCTCTTTTGCACTGTTGATCGTGTACTCGCAATCGATATCAGTTAGATGAATGTAGCACAGCTCTTCAGAGAAGTGGTTGACTAACGAAACGCCTAGCCCCTGACTCAGAACGACGTGTACCTACACATACACGAACACATTACTAAACTAAATGCAAAATTCACGTAGGTAAGTATAGCCAGTGTTGCTGTAGTATAGCCTAAGCTAGTTGCCTAGCAGACTCATGCAGACATTCTATTAGCTTCCTACTCTATATCAAGTGCATGAGATGCACCGAGTGAGAGAGTAATGTCATGAGAGCCTACATGTGATTAAAATGCGTGATACAGAGTCAGTTATAGAACTCTCCCACCAGTAATACTTTCCACGGAGGCTATATATAGCGGTAAATTACCTCCAGGTCTCTTCGTGGCGCCACCTGTGGTTTGTTATCTGCATCAGGAGAGTCCATTTCAATTAGCTTGTGTTCCTGAATGATGATCCAGTCCGACATGGGTCGACTCACCAGTCGCTATAAACAGAGGTTACCCCCTCACTCTATTTGTGGTGATACATACAGCAAAGCAATAAATACAAAGACACCATTATTAGGCTATCCTTGTATTGGTCTTTTGAAACAACATGTAAAAGGAATTATTACTAGCCTAGACTCTTCCATTCTAGTACGACCGGTGTGGCCCCATGGATCTCGCTACAGGGCTATACTACGACATATGACTAGAGGTAGAATTTGAGAAGAATGTTTACAAATTAGAGCATTGGCAGAAATGCCGTCCATGGCACAATAAATGAAAGTGTCAATGACACTATAGCTCACCTTGGGTGTGATAGAAGAGGGAAATGATATTTAAAATTTGTGTTTCATTTATTATGGACCAAAATGTGATCAAATGTCCTTATTCCCTGTTTTATACTAATAGAAATTTCACTGTTTTGTTTCAGGGTTAGTTTTGATGCGAAAATAAATGTTTCAGATCTGAAAGTATGAAATCTGGGCGAGAGATGGCGCTACGCCTAAATGATCGCCATTTTGGTTTTTGATTATCTCGCAAATAAAAGCAATAAAATATTCCAGTCAAATTACTGTAACGAAGAATCTAAAACACACTATTACACGTAGGTATGATTAGGTAGGTAGGTAGGCAAATTTAACACAATCGAATGAATCTAGATGGCCATTTTCATTTTTGCTAAAAAGTCGTAAAAAATTTTGGTTGAAACGTAGGTCAACTGGCGTGCTTTAAAATAAGACGTTCAAATCTGTCCCATAGGAGTAACAACTGTATGCAATTTGAAACATGTGGGTCAAACGGTTCTTGAGTTATTGTTGACCGTAGGCAGACACTGAAATGCATAATGAAATTGGCAAAATCTACCTAATTTGCATAATTTAAAAAAAATATCAAAACCCCTGTGATATGTTTTGGGGCCAGTCCTTATTCATTCACATACTAAAAATTTGCAAAATCCGTTGAACCTGAACTGACTTATGGCCATTTCCATTTTTGCCAAAAAGTGGGCGTGGCTCGAAAGTAGGTCAACTGGCGTGCTCCAAAATAGGACGTTCACATCTCTCCCATAGAAGTAACAACTGTATGCAATTTGAAACATGTGGGTCAAATGGTTGACACCCCATAGCAATAGCTTATCTTGACGATGTCAAGGTGAGCTAAAAATCACCCTAGCTGGCAAAATAAACTTCTACTCTTTAACCAGCCAGCCAGCAATTTACATTTAAATCACCATAACATGGTAAATTGGTCCCTTTATTGTGCCACAGACTGCAGCATTCCCGGCCATGCCATAATGATTCTTCTCAAATTCGAGCTACTTCCATTCCAGGTGAACCGCGCATCCTACAGGGACAGCATCGCACAGGCCCTCTCGTTGCTCGGACTTTATTCGAACGAAAAATAACCGAAATCACCTCCTCGCTACCACTCACGTTGTGCATCCGGTCGGTGACCTGAAGAACGCGAGTTGGTCCGCTCGCGACGATTGCCACGGCCAAACACCCGGAGCCCGGCCGCAGCTTCTGCCGCCCGATGGCCTGCTCGATGGGAATGCCGCGGGCATTCAGTCCGCTGGTCACCGGCTGCCGCCGCCCCAGCAGGACATCGGCTCCCTGGCGCATGATATCGCTCCTCACCTGGACGAACAGCCCCGGCAACGCCGGACAGCACAGGCGGCCATCCTGCGTGCGAGAAATCATGTCAATCGATATGGTGGTGGTGCAAAACACGTGTCATCAGTGTTGAGGACAGATAACATGTGCTATCAGTGTAAGAAAGACACTATACCCTGTCAATAGGTATAGAGATGACAGACATAGACCATGACATAAGCCTGTCAGATAGGCTCACATGTCCTACCCAGTTCACTAGTGACCACCCGTTGCCCATGATTTCTGTTCCCCATTTGATTCCTCAGTGTGCTAGGTCATCATTCCTAACTTGACCATCTCTCAATTAGAGTCCACCCTGGCCTGCTCAGTAACCCTCCTCTCACCCCTGCTTGCTTGGTCACCCTTACCTCACCCCTGCCTGCTTGGTCACCCTCCCATCACCTCTACCTGGTAGGTCACCCTTACCTCACCCCTGCCTGCTTGGTCACCCTTACCTCACCCCTGCCTGCTTGGTCACCCTCCCATCACCTCTACCTGCTTGGTCACCCTCCCATCACCTCTACCTGCTTGGTCACCCTCCGATCACCCCTGCCTGCTTGGTCACCCTCCCATCACCCCTGCCTGCTTGGTCACCCTCCGATCACCCCAGACTGGTTAGTCACCCTCCTCTCACCCCAGACTGGTTAGTCACCCTTACCTCACTCCTGCCTGCTTGGTCACCCTCCGATCACCCCTGCCTGCTTGGTCACCCTCCGATCACCCCTGCCTGCTTGGTCACCCTCCCATCACCCCAGACTGGTTAGTCACCCTTACCTCACCCCTGCCTGCTTGGTCACCCTTACCTCACCCCTGCCTGCTAGGTCACCCTCCAATCACCCCTGCCTGCTCAGTAACCCTCCTCTCACCCCAGACTGGTTAGTCACCCTTACCTCTGTGAAGCTCCATGTCTGCGTGCGCCTACGTCGTTCGTCGGGCTTGCGTAGCATCAGCCGCGCGTACGAGTCGGGCTGCGGCGCCATCGCGTCAATGTCGAGCACGAGAGACTGCCGCTGAGCGACGGGTCGTCGCGGGTCACGAGGCTCGCTCGTTCCCTCATGCTCCAGCATCGCGGCCGACGTCATGCGCCACAGCTGCGAGCGGCGGCCGGGCTGCTTGCGTGCGAGGATCACCGCCAAACCCTGCGGCACGTCTAGCACGAGCTCGCTGCTCGTGACGCCGGCACCCATCCTGCTGCCTGGAGACGGGAGTTGAATTACATCGTACGCAGTGGCGGGAGGCTGCATGATACACGTGGAGATGCATGAACCATGCATGAACCACCGTGAGATGTGTGAGAACCATAATAGCTACACTGGTGTTTCACCAATCAGACATTTCAGGGATAAAAACATTATCTTGTATGTGTGCTGAAGAATGCATAGTAGTCATGCTTCCGAGAATCTTCCCAGAAATTGTTACGATCTGCCTAGAATTTGCTAGCAACTTCCCAGAATCTGCTGATAATAGCCCAGCATTTGCTGGCACTCGCGCAAAATTTGTAGGAAATCACCCGGAATCTGCTTGCGATTCACCCGACACTTATTCACGAAGACACGGTCGGTGTCTGTGCAGCACGCACCCGGATCTTCTTGGAATGTCGACGTGACTGCGATGTAGAGAAAGTTCTCGTAGCACAGGTCCTTCGATGCCTCGCCGACCGAGCTCAAGCTATAGGACGCGCTAGTGCCGCCCGACACGCTGCATGTGATGAAGGGGGGCAACGTCGGCTCGTCAAACGCGTACGGCACCGACGTACGTGCGTTCACCCAGCTGCGCAGCCGGTCATCCACCACCTGCAGGCAGGAGGATACACTGACAGACATCGGTATCTGTGTGTGTGCGTGTGGATCACAAGGCACGTATTTGTTTGGAATAGCTATGATCTGGCTTTGGTCAGCTAATATGTATAAACAAATTATAGTTAAATTAGATGATTATATGTTTAATA